ATGTAGACTTTAATTTATTTAATAATAATTATAGGGTCGGTCATAAATAATTTTGTGTAAATAAAAGGTACTGATATTAATAATTAGTTATTATTATTATTATTATTTAAAAAAAAAAAAAGATAGTATATAAATACTTATGTTGTCCAAATATCAAAAATCATGGCAGACCCTCAAGCAAGACCACCTGGATCTGACAAACAAACTCAAACATGTATTATTCAGCTTCAACTAATTGTTTGTCAAAAATTATTATTATTATTATTATTATTATTAATATTGATATGTTATATAGTATAAAATAAAATGTCATTCATTGCATGATTGAAATTCAAAATCATAATAGAAAATGATTTGCAAATAAATAATTGGTGATAAATTTTAATTCTTTTTATATTAATTATTATTATTTAATATCGACCACTCTTGATAATATTTCAATATAAATAAAATACTTTATTATTATTATTATTATTAAAAATTTGACTTATGAATTCATTGTTTCACGTTTTTAAGGTTTTGTTTGTTTGTTTTTAACTAATTGTTGAATTTGAAAATGATTTTCTTTAAATCTTTTTGATAAATTGTAATCACAATTGAAATTATTAACAATTTTACACTAAAAAATTTGTTAATTTGTTTGCAGTGACTTCTTTTAAAATCCCCTCACCCCCCCCCAAAAAAAAAAAACAAAATAATAATATTAATAATAATATTTTAAGTAATAAAAAAATTGTTTACTTGATTTCATGATTGATTTTAATGTAGAATTTGATGAGTTTATGACTAACACTGTGTAATAAAACATATTTTTATATCAATTTTGTTTGTTTGTTAGCAAATAATAATAATAATAATAATAAAGTATAAAATAATTATAATTTACATGCCATAAAAAAAAATTAATTTAGAAAAAAAAACAAATTTTTAATTACTATATAAATTTAAATGTTGTTTTTCTTCTTTTTTAAATTTCAAATATCAAATTATTATTTATAAATTGTTTAAAATAAATAAACTTGAAATTTTTGTTAAACTTTTTCATGTGCCAAAAAAATATTACTCACACACCACACTAAGAACTCACACATTAAATTAATATAAATAATAATAATAATAATAATAACTTTTCTTTTTTTTTTTGCTTGTTTTAACACTTGAATTTAAAAAACAAAAAAAAGAAATGTTTATTAAAATAAATAAATAAATAATGTATTAAATAAAACCGTTTTTTGTGTAACGTAAAAATAAAATATTTAGTTGTAAACGCGCGAACAATTTGCCAAGAAACCAATTTCAATACTAAGGACTCGTCAAACGATTACAAGTAACCGACTCTTGATCTCGTTTTAAAACTCGGCGCTTATTCTTTCTTATTATTATTATTATTTTAACACATCCATTGAAAATTTCATATTATTTAAATATTATTTATTTAAACGTTTTATATAAATAATTAAAAACTTATTTATAAAAACTATAACGACAAAAAAAAAAAATTAAAAAACAAAAAGAACAAAAACAACTGACAGGTTTGTTACTCGCGATAACATTTCGGTTATTGAGAGGGAAATAAAGTTCGTGGCAGGATTTCCCGTTCTAAAACCACTTTCGAAAATATTTGCCGTCGTCGTGTTTTGTTTTTTTTTCGGTTAATTTTTTTTAAAATTTCATTCTTTTTTTTTTGTTTATCAACTTAACGTTTTTTTTTTTTACTTTATTTTATGTTTTTAATAATAATGAACGATCGTCATTTTTTGAAATAATCCATTACAATACGTATGTATCTTTAAAAAAAAAACATTTTTAATCGTAATTTAATATTATTATTATTATTATGCATAACGTTAACAATTTACATAAGAAGACATTTTGAAAAAAAAAAAAACGTTTTTTTTTTCATTTATTCTTTCATCGAATAAAAATTACTCGATTCTAATGTTATGCTGATTAATTATAAATCATTTATAAATCTTTAGATGATAATTAATCGAATAATTTTTATTTAAATTTTGCAAAATATCAATAACCTGAAATCAATAACCTGAAGTTTTTTATATTAAATTTCGTATTTTGAATGAAAGTAAAAAAAAGACGCTGACACGTTTTCTAAGAACCTGAACAAATAATTATTATTTTTAGGTTAGATTTTTCTAAGAATTTATTTTTTTTTTTTCGTTCAGAAAAATTAATAACAAAAGGTTGTTGTTGTTGTTGTTTGTTGTTTGTTGTATTTGTCGCAATGTGTGCGACAAACGATTTGAAAATGTGTGTGTGTCTTGTTTATGTTCTTAGAAGGATTCATTTTAAACGCCATTATTTGATTGTTTGTTTGTTTTTTTAATATAAAATTTAAAAAAAAAAGAGTAGTTTTATCAAATATACCTTTAATTTAAAAAAAATTATTATTATTATTATCAAGTTAATTTTTTATAATATGTCAAAAAAAATTTTTTTTTTCACCTGTAATAATATTAAAGGGAAACACGTTTTTTTTATTTAAATTGTCAGGTTTTCGGTTTAACTTTTGACAAAACACGACATCTTTCATCTTTTTTTTTTTTATGTAAATCGTTTTATTTTTTATTTAAATACATAAAAATTAATTTTAGGTCTCGTGTGGTGTTCATATCATACAATTAATACTTTTTCTTTCCATTAACCATTAAACTGTACCTGATTTTTATTTAATATGTATACGGAAGTTCAAAAAACTCTTATTATTATTATTATTATTATTATTATTATGAAAGTACAATGAAAAAATTTTTTAAATACAACCATAAATAATGTATAAAAAAAAAAAGATACAGGTAGGGTTTTTTATTTTTTTTGAAAAGGCAATGTCATCGAAAAAAAAAAAAAAAAGGAAGACAAAAGAAATGTAAACTTTAAAACCTGAAGGAAATTCAAAGACTTTTTTGTATTATTATTATTATTATTATTTGAAAAATGAATGTTAGGCTTCAGGTATTGTGTCCGGCCGGCGCTTCTTCTTTTTCTCGTGTTTGCTTTGTAGGCGTTTTTTTTTTTAAAATGGGTTTTAAACTCTTTTGTGGAGGGGGAGGGAGGAAGGGGGAGGCACACCCAATATTTTCTTTTTTTTTTTTTTCTACAGGTGGGTTTATAGTTTTTTACAAACCTAACCAAAAATTCTTATTTACTTTTTTGTTTTCAAAAAGGATGGGTGGGGGGGGGAGGGGGAAATAAAATTAAATGCACTTTTCCAAATTAAGGTACGTTCACTTGTTTTAAATTTGAGCAAAAATATTTTATTTAAAAAGAAAAAAAAGTCAGTTTTTCAACGAGAAAATTCCTTTTTTTTATTATTATTCGATAAATGCAAAAGGGAGGGGGAGGGGAGGAAAGTGTGTGTGAATCAATAAGGCTTTTAAAAAATTTTGAATGAATGAGAACAGCCACAGATGACAAATACAAATTTTACAAATCACCAAAAAAAAAAAAAATGGGGCCTTAATCTCTTATTCTTAAAAAAAAAAAAAGGGAAGAGTGAAAAAATGTATAAATAAATATACATTTGTTACCAAAAATTATAACATGCAAAAAAGGCAAAAAGGAAAAATGGAAAATGCAGTCATCCTAAAAAGTTTTCTTCCGCTTTTCAAAATCGCATCAATCAACATAAATTTTCATTTCAATTAATCCGATTTAAAAGAAAAAATCGTCGAAAGTGGAAAAAATAGAAAAAAAAAAAATATAAAGAACCGTGTCCGATTTTTAAATAATCAATTTGGGACACGATTTTCCTTTCAGAAAAATTTTCCTTTTATAAAAATTTTTCTTTTAAAAAATAAAAGGGATGACACCCTATAAGAACCCTTCGTAGGTTCTTTCTCGCGTATCTTTCTCTTACAGTTCATTGAGTAATTATGACATCAAATGCAAAAAACTACCCCTCGTTTTTTTTTTTTAAACTAATTGCAACTCTACGTAAAAAAAATTATTATTATTATTATTATTATTGTCAATTAAATACAGCAATTTATTTTTTCTTTTACGTGTAAGCATAATAAACAAATAAATTATTGTTAGAGAAAAAAAAAAGGGAAAAATATTTCTAGTTTGTTTTTATTAATAAAAATTTTCCTGAATTTATGCAAAAAAAAAAAAAAAAGAAAAATTACTCGGTTAAAAAAGTAATAAATAATCTTATTGATATCTCAAAAACATTTTTTACTAATTTTAGTAAAAACTTTTTTTAGTAAAAATATTTTTTTTTACTTTATTTGTTAATTAATTCTTTTTTTTTTTTTTATTACTCCAAATTTGTTGTTATCGTTTTTTTTTTTTTTTTCATTTAGGCGCTGATAAATTACAAAGTTTTTGATTAAAATTGATTATAAATATAAAATAGTAAAAAAAACGAAAAAAAAAAAACGAAAAAAAAATTTAAACTTAAATTTATTATATAAAACGTATTAACAAAACAAAAACTACCCTCTTATTCTTATTCTTCTTGGCACGATAATAAAACTATCAGAGTAAGAATTAAAAACAATCAATTCATATAATCATTATTATTATTATTATTATTATTATTATTATTATTAACTTTTTTTATTAAAGACAAACATAAATAATAATTGATTTGATTTTGTTTGATTTAAATTTTATTTATTTGATTTGCCATTGAATTCAGAGCAAAAAAAAAAAAAAGTTTTCTTTTACAAGAAAGAAAGACAAAAAAAAAAAATGTATACTCTTTATGTAAATAATAATAATAATAATAAAAATGATTATGTAGTATTAAAATAATTTCTTAACGTGACTTATGATAAAAAGTTAATAATAATAATAATAATAACTAATAATTATGTAGATTTTACTGTTAACCGTTTTTTTTTTTTTTTTTTTTAAATCTTATGTATTATATATGTATTTATTTATTTTTAAAAAGTTTAAAGTTAAAATTAAAATTAATAAAAGACAATATGTCGCTTGTTTTACAGATTTAAATGAAACGAAAAAAAATTTTCATGTCATATTTGAGTGCTGAAACGTGGACGAGGAAGATCACCGAAAATTGCATCTCCGTGTACGCTTCTTGCGAGTGCTTTTATTGATGCAGCTATGTCAACAGCACCGATGCTACTGCTCTGTAAGTACACATTTCAAATTTACTCTTAATTTAATTAATTAATAATAAAAGAGAGAGAGGGGGGGGGAAATGAACACCTTTACACTTACATCATCATCATTATTATAATTTGTTGAAGGTACGGAATAAACAGGCACGTTGACTGGTAACGATTTTGCTAGATTAAATGACGATGTTCTTTTTCTATGAATATCGATTCCTTCATCGTGTGATCCGGAATCTATATTTAAACCCAAAACAAACAAACAAACAAACAAACAAACAATTCATCAATTCCAAAAATAAAAATAAAAATCAATATGTATTAATCATATACCATCGTGATCCGTATCGGATTCTCCTTCCGAATGATTTGGCTCGTTCGAAACGGAATCTTCCATTCCTTCTAGAACGAATAAACCTTCGCTATCGAAATAATTGTGTTCGTCATTTGAATTTTTCGAAAAGGATTGAACTGAATGATTTGGTGAAACGAATGATTTTTCATCGGAGACCTATTTAAACGTTCGTTGCATTAAATACGCGTTCGATTGTTTTGAAATAAAAAAAATAAAAAAAATTACATTCGACAAACCTTTGAATTTATTTTTTTCCCTTGAGCATCTTTAACTAAACCACTCTCGGAAAATGCAGAATCGCTCACTGCTGCCACGTGTGGTTCAGCTTCAAATATTTTACTAATGAAATTAAAATTGTTATTAGTGTAATACATTTAATTTTTTTTGTAAATAAGATGAAATAAATATACCTTGCCAAAGATTTATGATCTTTGGTTGCACGATCACGAAATTCGTCTAATAAATTGTACTGTTGTTCGGTATAAAAACGTATTCTTTCTTCAGTCTTTGTTACTTGTTCCCGTATGGCATCATTTAATTGCTGTTGTAAAGATGTCAAAGCGGTTTGAACTTTTTGTGCTAAAAAAAAAAAAAACAATAAATTAATAATAATTCTTTTCATTTCTGAATATAATAATAAAATAATAATTAAAAAATTACTCACGAGACTGTAAAAAATTTGTATAACTTGAACTTTCTTCAGATACTAGGGGTTCGACAATTATTTGAAAAACTGGCGAATATTCTTTATATGTTTTCTTTTCGGCAACTGCATCCAAATGTGAAATTAATGCTGTATTTGCCAATGTATGAGATCCATCTAAGGAAGTCAAATAGCAGGTGGTTGAGCAATTAATACATTGTTCAATCATCCAACGTCCTACATTGGTTGATCGAACAAGTGCTTTTACTTGTATCGATACTTTATTTATTTCTATTTCGCATAATTCCTAAAATGAAAAAAAAAAAAAAAAAAAAAATCATGAAATGTTATTTATGTAGATTTTTTTATCGAAATCCTTTAATTTAATGTTTTCTTTCTTGTTTACAAAAATTTTTAATTCATGATAGCAAACTAATTACATTAATTCAAAATGTTGCTAACAAACTTTTAGGGCTTTCAGTGAACGAGAATAAAAAAAATTAACATATAAAATCTAAATTTTAACCTATTATAATTTTTGCCATATTTAAGATAAGATATTAATGATAAATAACCAACAATAATAATTATTTAATATGATTTGAAAAGGGAAATTGATCAGCAAATATATTTTAAAAAAATATAATAATTAAAATTTATTAATAACTTGATTTAAAAAAATATCGTAAATACAGAAAGAAGTGAAATCGAAATAGATAAAATACAATTAAAAGATATATTATTCCTTTTGTTTTGTACTTCAATCTTTATTCATATTTTAATAATAGATACAGCCTAATACACTTCTAACCTAAAATTTAAATAAAAAAAAATAGGTTAGTTACAACAATGTTAAAGGAAATACTTAAAATTTGTGATAATAATAATATGGTTTAAATAACTTTTAATAAAAACTATTTTTAAAAATTCATTTAAACAAATGAATTTGAATGGTTCATCATTTAAATTTATTTTATAACAAATTAAAAATAAAAAGATGAATACATAATTATGATCAATAACTTGATTGGGTTTCAAATAATAATAATAATAATAATAAAAAGGCAAAAAGCAAATATAGTATTTGGCCAAAATCGACTAAATAACGTTTCGATAAATCATTTTTTTTTTTTTTTTCTCTAATCACCGGTATATTTATTGATTATTAGAAAACCTAAAAACCTCACGAAATTTGCTTAAAATACTTTTATTTTATTTTATTTTTTTTATTTCAAGGACAAAAAAAAGAAATATTGTTTTTCTCTGTATGGTATTCACTATTTTTTTTTTCTCTTTTTTTTTTTTTCCTTATTAAAATAAACTTACCTCTTTGAATATATTAATAGATTCTTCTTCTTCTGATAAATTTAATGTTGAAAGTTGGATGCCAGAATGATTTTTTGAGCTTTCTTTAGCATCAACAAAAACATTCAAGCACTTACAAGTAATTATCATTTTCGTTTTCCCTTTTCAAACACTAATGCTAATAAGAAATGGCTGCCTGAAGGTAACTTTTTCAAATTAAAATTCAATGTTTTATCAACAATCTATTTTTAACTTTGTACTTTTACATCGGTTTGAACAAATCAAATTATAACTTTGCTAAGATTATATTTTTAAAAAAAAAAAAAAAAAAAAACTTATCTTTAAAATTAATATTTCCTTGTTAAAAATCAAATTTTTTTTTTTTTAAAAAAAAGAAAATTACTGCGTACTCTATTACTGAATTGTTTGTCTACCAGCTGATTCCTCTCCACCATAACACCATTAGCCGTTTTCATATTAAATTGTAAAAATCTATTTTCCCCATGTTGCTCCAATGGGATATTTTGTCATTTAAGAAATCTTGTTACGTCCCCTCACCCCACGTAATATAATTAATTGCTTTTACATTTAACATGGTATCCTTAGTTTATAAATTTACCGAAATGAGAAAATAATTAGAAAAGTAAATAAAAATTAATAATTTAAATGAAAAAAAAAAAAAAAAAAAAAGAGAAAGAGTTAGAAAATACTACTCAGATAAGTTAATAACATTGTCTTACGTTTATATTTATAAAATTACATCATCGATTTTACGTATTTATAACCTCAACTGGTCACCGCTTATTATAAGTTGTCAGTGAATTTACCTGTTTTCCAATAAGGCAAAGTAGTTATTAGGATATTTAAAATATATTTTATTAAAATGAATTTTCCTTTTAAATTTAATAAGTAAAGTGGTCAAAGTGTATTATTATTCATTTTTAATTAATGATTTGCAACATTTTATAAAATTTATTAATATTTATATATTCAAAATTTTTAAAAAATCAAAGCGATTGTTGAAGATATAAAAATTTTGAATTGTATTTTTACTTATAAAAAAATTTATAAACTTCTGATACTCGGCATCAACTATATATATTATTATATTTCTTAACAAATTATATATGATGATACTTTTCGATTTAAAAATTTCACAGGTACCCACAAATATTTATTAAGAGTTATTAAGAAATAAATTATGGGACAGCGAGAAACACCAGAGTGACTTAATACTGTTAAAATATACTTTTAGTCGAGTAAACTTGAAGCAACAGAGAACTGTTTTCTTTTTAATGTCTGTTTCGAAATAATAATAAAAATAAATAATTTTTTTTAAACTGGCAAAGGGAGAAAAGCCTTTGCCAGTTTAAAAAAAAAAAATAATTTAAATCCTATTAAAATAAATAAATAAAAAATAACCTTCTTTTTATAGGAGACAGACAAGAAAGAAAACTATTTTATTTTGACATTTTCCTACTTTTTTTTTTTTAATAATAAAAAAAAAATGACCTTTTCATAAAAGTTAATATTTCTAATTTTAACTTACATAAATATATATTATATATTATTGGGTAATTGCCAAAGAGCGAACAAATTATTTAAAGAAAAAATAATATATAAAAAAATTAATGAATTTTTTATTTTTATATATTTTATTTCACATCAGCTTCAATGCAAATAATTTTTTTTTTTTTATTTTATTTATTTATATATTAAAATAAAATAATAAAAAAAAGTAAAACAATTTGCAATAAATTACGTATAAATAAATAAGAATTTTATTATTATTATTATTATTTTAATAATCGGGTCATAAAAGATTTAAAAACATTTTTTTAAAAACTTTTTTGGTGGTTTTTAATGATTTAAAAAAAAAATCTCGAAAGGTGTTTATCGTGTTAATAAAAGATGAAAAATTTAATAACAATACCCATAATTTATTTATTAATAAATATGTTAAATAAAGTTGATGGTATTATTGTGCATAAAGCTAAAATAGGTGAAACAACAATAATCCCTTGTCCGAGTAATGATAAAATTCATAAATTTCAATATTGGCTATTAAAAAATGATGAAATTGTAGGTCCATGGAATAATGATGATAAAAATAAATACAGGTATGAAGCATGGTCAGGACGACTCATAATAAGGGTAGGAACATAATCATTTATTTATTTATTTTTTTTTTCATTTTTTTTCCAATACATTATTACATCTTGTTGTACGTTTAATAATTACAGAGTGTTTCTGATGATGAAACAGGATTTTATAAATGTTTTTCTAAAAAAATACTTGGAAATGAATTAAAATCAGAAACTGTAGAACTTTTGGTTATGAGAGAGTGGGAAGATTCATATGAAAATGATTCGAGGGTGAATATTATTATTATTATTATTAATATCGTCTTAACTAATTCGTCGTTTTTTTTTTTTTTTTTAAATTGATGATAATTTTTTAAAATTGTTTTCAAGGTTAATATCTACAGAATTCTTGTTGCCGTTTTGGTTATAATTATTTTGATTACTCTGGGAATTTTTGGCATTTTGTTAAAACGACAAAGATCTTTCGCTTTTAATGGTAAAATCAAAAACAAAATGATTTCGTTCTAAATAATAATAATAATAATTAAATGTTAAAATTTTATAGAACTTAGAGAACCATCTCCCGAAGAACTTTTACCATCAGCAAATAATGAAGTTTATAGGGCGACAAGCATCAGTTTAAAAAAATCACCAATAATTTCTGAAAGATCAACCGATAGAGGTTTAGATAATGCCATCGTGGAAACAGACATTTCAACATCGTTTTCTTTACCCAATTGAATTAAATAAAAAATTATGTATATTTAATTATGTAAAAATAATAAAAATAAATACAAATTTACTAGAATAATATTTAAGTAGAAGAGATCGATCCTGCGGCAAAAGACTTCATTAAATTATAACATTCTTTTAACCTTTTTTTATCGCCTATTCTTTCGAGAGTTTTAACGGCTTCGGCTAACATTCCAGCTCTTTCTCCAGGTGATGACAAAAGAGGAGTCGGTAAATGCCTACAAGCCATATACAAAGCAGTAGCATGTTCTCTTTCGCCGATGCCATCTTGGGAAACTTTATCTGAAACATTTAACGAAATTGTTTTCAAATATTTTACATGACCAAAAAAAAACTTTTTTTTTTTTTTTGTAACAAGTGTTTGATGAATGTTACCTTTTCCGCAAAGGACAGATTGTTTGTTTGCTCTATGTCTTAAACTGCGATCTAACAATTGTTGCGTTTTTGCCGGTGCGGCACCAGCCATTAATCGAGCAGTGGCTTCGTATAAAAATACTCTGGGCAAAGCGTTCTGAAAAAAAACAAAAAAAAATTTTTTTTTTTTTTCTCTTATTCGCGCAGTAAATATATTTGACATTGTAAATTTGAATCGAGATTTACCGGTAAATATTGAGTTAATCTCCTCAAATTGGACACGTCTCTTAGAAAACCACTCAAAAATGCATTTGGAACTCTAAAACTTTGTTCAGAATCCAAAGATTCGATTTCCCAAAGCCTTGTTCTCGTCTCTAATAGACAATCGCATATCAATAACTGCACAATCTAAAAAATGATAAATTTTTTTGTTAAAATGTTTTATTTACTAATAGGACAAAGGTAAAGAAAACTCACCAACATTTTTGACGAGGTTGTCTTACAAGAATTAAATGTCAAACTGTCATCCAATAATTGTCCGGCTATTTTACAATATTTAATAAGTTGAATTTTATCCGATTCATTATCTGACTTGAGTAATTCGTTTAATTTTATTCTGCTCCTGTAAAATTAAACACTCAATAATAAACAAATTAAAATTCAACCTTATTTTTAAAGAGTCTCTCTCTCTCTCTCTCTCTCTCTCTCTAACCTGAAAGCTGCCAATAAAGCTTTTGGTAAAGTGTCTTGATTATTAGCTAAAAAGGCAGGAATATTCTCTAGTTTAGTGTAAAGTTTATTTGCTTCTTCTTCTTCTCCGAGTAACCAATAAGTTGCAACTCCAACAGCTGAAGCCCACCAGTGAGCAATTTCATCTTCGTAATCTAATTCATTTAAAAAATGTTAAAAATTATTTTAATAATAATAATAATAAT